AGAAGTGGACACAGTTAAAAGGATTTTCTGATATTTGTTTAGCTTGGCTGCTACACTTTGCTAAATAAAAGGAAGGTTTTTGCTAAAGTTGGAACAAACAGTAGATCAGAACATTAAATAAAGGGTTAGTGAACCTTCCAGTGGTGCTAAGTCAGATATGCTGATGAGGTCAAAATTTAATTCCACATTGAAATTGGACATTTCAAGTACAAATGTTCACAGCAAGCCAAATTATTTTACCTACCAAAACTCCAGGTTCTCTGAAGAGTCTCTTTCATTGTCACTCGTCCAATCCATATTTACAATACTAAAATCCACTATGGAAACAGAGGCAGAAGGAGAGCAACTTTTTAGTCTATATAGGGCAGACAGCTGGGAAAGCTGGAATCTGTGCAGCCTGCTGCCACAGGACCCCCCCATAGGCTGACAAGACCTGCAGTGCCACCCTAGCATCTCCCACTGATCTTCCCCCTATCCCTGTCCATTCCCTCAGCTCCTTCATTAAATTATACTGAGGATGGGGGTAATTTAAAAGTGCTGGTTCAAGAGGAGCAGAGGGTTGGGAGGATAAGGAGAGAGCACCCAGAAGGATTATGGCTCTTGGAGGGATGCTCAGGGGCAGGTTGAGTGGGGTCCTGGCAGGGAGATGACAAAGCTCCCAGTGCTCTGATACCAGGCTGGGTAAAACACTTTATCCTGGGCCAAAAAAATGGGCAGCATAATGAAGTGATGTGGCTTCCACCCCGACAACATCCGTCCACCTGAGGAACTGCTGGGTATTTGGTGAGAACAGGGGTGTTCATCTCCTCAGCAGTGTGAGTAACTCCTCGCAGGGGTGAGAAACAGGTTGACAGCTCGGGTTGTGCTCCTTGCTCAACACTGCACTGCCCATCTGCAGCCAGCAAGAGACCTGGTGATACATCACATCCGAGTTTGTGACTTATGGGTAGTAATTATTGTAATTAAACAGTGGTCTCAAAATACTCCCTGGGTTGCGAATGCTTCTTAAACTCACATTTACCTGAGTAAGGGCACAGCAATTCTGTCCCATAAGGTTTGTATAGCATTTGAAATTCGTATCCTCAAATTATACATTTAGTTAAAACACTCTTATAAGTCATTTTCATAACAGTTTGCAGTATAAACATATTACCAAGTTAAAATTAAATGAGCAATTATCATATAGTATAATATAATATAAAAATTCACTCCTTATAATACAATCTAAAACTCACCAAATAGAAGAGCAATGCTGTGTAACTAAGCAAACAGGATAGGTGTGAAATTAAACAGGATATAGATGCATTGTGTGAGATAGATTTGGTGGTGGAAATGAGTCACCTCTTTGTCAACAGCATCACTACCAACTTGCTGTGCAGATGGGAAGGGAGGCATCCAGAGCAGCAGTGGCTGTGCAGAAATGTCACCAGAGCCACCCCAGCCTGCACTCAGCACCTTTAACAGTAAGGAGTGCCACCAGCAAAGCTCAGAGATGCCCCAGGCCCCCATCCCTGCTCCAGCAGCTGGCACAGCTCCAATCCTCTGCCAATTCACAAATGAGCTCCCTTTGGTGACCTGGTTTCACCATGCCCAAGAAGGGCAGCAGGACTGTCCCCTGCAGCAGCTCCTGCCCTGCAGCCTCAGCTCTCAGCTGCCAGCACAGCCCAAGGGCTGCAATCCCACTCTGAGGTGCACTAGCACAGGTATGGGACTGGGCTGTGGTCCCAAATTCATCCCCTGCTTCCAGCCCCTCTTGCTGGTGGCCCCACTGAGAGGAGAGGAGCTCTTATGTCCTGATGGTGCCCTTTTCCAAAGGGCAGCCCCACACCAGGCTGCCCTGGGCACGTCCCACTCCTTAGGGGACAGGAATGGAGTGCCCTGCCTGAAGCAGAAAAAAGAGAGCTGACTTTGCTCCACGCTGTTTTGCACATTAATTGTTACATAAATGCATTCAAATATTTGTAAGGTTGATTGAAAATGTTGCTAAATCAGACCGCTCAGATTTAACCACCAGAAATTAAATCAGATAATAAACAATCAGCATTTCATTCCTACAAAAGGATGATAATTCTGTAGGACTTTGGGTTTATATTGTCTATGCACCTGCATGTGGAATGCTAGTGATAAAGTGAGATTTGATAGCAAATTGGACTGGCAGACTGTTTTTGAACATAATTGCTCAACAGAAACCACCCGGAATCAATTTAATCACAGTGCAACTGATTTTTAATTTCCAATGGGACAAAAAAGTACCATTCACTTTAGGATTTTAGTGACTTTGGTTTGTAATCATGGAACATCTGTATTGTAGCCAAGCTAATTAAATAAATGCTAAGTATTTCTCACTTTGTAATGCAGAAAAAAAAAAATAAAATAATTAAAGGTGCCTCCTAAACAGCAAAATGAACAAAAGCTAATGGCCTGGCAGCACACTCAATCCGTGGTTAGACACAGTCTGTTCTCTTTGCAGTTGTGAAATTCTGGGACAATTATCAGCAGTTTCTTTTGAGGCTCTCTGGACAATTAGCAGTGGCACTAACAGAAGGTGGGGACACAAAGCCCAGCTGCCAGAAAGGAAGCATTTCTGCAAAAATTCCACCTGAAATCTGGTGTGCAATGCAGAAATCCGTCCTGCAGAAAAAGGTGCTGCCCTGACAAAGAGGGGGGTGCCCAGCGGGGCATCCTGCCCTCTCTGCTCTTGCCTTTCAGGGCAGGAGAAGAGCTGTGCAGCCACCAAAAGCAGCGAGACAGAAATGCCAGAGCCCCTTCCTGCTCCCCTGGTTGTGGAGGCGCTCGGTGTGGGTGTGGCAGAGGAAGCAGCTGCTCACAGCTGCCTGAGCATCAGAGGGGAAAGCAGCTGTCAGCTCATGTGGTGACTGGAGCATGAGTCCAAAAAACACATGGTGTGTATTAAGGAAGAGGAAAACAAACTGCCCCATAGTACCTTGGTCCTGAGAGGAAAAGGCTGAAGCAATTACATTAATTTCATTTGGGATGGGAAGTCATCTCCAGTCTGCTTTTATTCTCTAAGTGGCTCTTTTTAACCAATTTTGGTGTTTATTCTGGATGTTGTTCTCTTAGCTGGAAGCTATTAGGGCACAGTGATCTTACAACCCTGTATCCTGAGACAGAGATCTGAGATGAGACAAAACTGGATTATTGCCTTCTCATCCTGGTTTTAATTTAGGGAGGGAGGAATTAGGCCCTATATTCTCATGGGGGAAACATTAAGAATGATTTCTTCATTTGATCCTGTTGAGCATCTTGAACAGAAGAACACAGATCCCATGCATGGCAGAAAAGTGAGTTGCTTCTGCTTCCCCCTGTGACTGCAGCACTCCCCTCCACCAGGCACTTGCCTGGCAGCAGGTGTGGGTATTTCTGATGGAGTAGCCAAAGAGCAAAATACTCCTTTCTGCTTTTGTGTTGCCTTTGTGAGGGCTGTGAGAGGACAGACAATACCTGAGCTCTCAGGATGCCTGGTGGCCCACAGCCTTCAAACAGCTGCACACAGCGAGGCTGAAGGGGCAGAGTGAGTTCCCTGAGAGTCTGGGCTCTGCAGGACACGGCTCTGCCAGGCTCTGGGAGCCAGGAATTGCTGTGACTCCTTGATCTGGGGCTCAGAGCTCCCCTCCATCACTGCTGTCCCTGCACACCTGCTCAGGCACCAAGGGATCCCACAGAGCACAGATAAGAGCTTTGGCAGCACAGCTGAAAGCCCAGGGCTGCTCAGGGAGCTCTCAAACCCAGGGGTGCTCAGCAGGGACCTCAGGGAGGTGCAGGTTCCTGGGGGCTGCCAGCCCATGTGAGGGGAACACAGGAATAACCAGGGAACTGATAAAACAGTGACAGCTCCACAGCCCTTCCTTTTGATCAGCATAAAGATGTATTTATAAATGCTGCCTTTTGTCAGCCAAAGGGTCTCTGATGAAGGGGCAGCATTTAGGCTGGGAAGTTTTGCCCTGCCTTAGACACAGGGGCACCAAAAAAATGTGTGATTATACATTGCACAGAGCAGTGCAGTGCCCAGCTCATCCTGCAGGCTTTTGGCAGAACCAGCCTGCTCCACTATATATATATTTAAGATTGATAATTCCTGTCACAAGAAAGCCCCAAGCAGTTGGCCTGGCTTTAATAAAACACAAGTCACTGGTGCCTTCTCTCTTGTGCCCAAGGGTGAAATAAAAGTTGTGCTTGTCCTTTGTGGAGCTGGGAAAGGATGTGCATCAGAGCATTTTGGGCACAAGGCCTGAAGGCTCGGGATCAGGCTACCCCACCCTGCAGCTCCAGCACAGCTCCAACAGCAAGCCAGTGTTCGGGCAGGGGACACCAGTCCCAGCCAGAGCCACCACAGCCTCACTTCCCTGGGTGACTGTGGGCAGAGACCCAGCGGCTCCCCAGGGTTAAGATGCTCTGGGGTCTCAGTCACATCGACTTTTTCTTCACAAAGCAAGGATACCAGAACAAAAACGCCTCGCTGTAAGAGGCTGGAAGGCGAACTACACCAGGGAAAGCCAGCTTTCCTTCTGAATGGGTGTGTTCCCCACACACATAGCTTCTGTGCCGCATTATTGGATATGCCAGACCCTTTTTTACCAGACTTCCCTCACAAAACCCCAGGCAGCCTTCATAACTCCGTGCAGAACTCAAAGTGAGCTAAACTTACAAATCACATCCAACACTAGTCAAATAAGAACCAAAGATTTAAAAGGGCATTTTATTTATTTTTTTATCTATCTATTTAGAAGAGCTCATTTGAGAATGGCAACGCCCCCAAACAATCCCACAGTATTCCCAGGAAATGATCCAGCTCTGCAGGATGGTTAAAATTAAACCTGTTGAGAGGCTCTCCGTCTCCTACACTCCAGGGGAATTTCCTGTGGCTGCTGCCTGCAGGGAATGCCTCGCAGGGAAGCGCTGGCATGCTTTGGTTTATCTCTCTTACCCCACCCTGCCACAGCAGGGAGGGGACCTGCCGGGAAAGGGCTTTGCTGGCTTACCCGGTGGGATTCCGGTGTTTAAATATCGGTGATCAGTGCCATTCGAAATGCCCCGGGGTATCCGGCTCGGCTCCCAGCAGCTGCTTCGGGAGGGTGGAGGTTTCTGGCAGGTTTCTGCTGGATCTGCCCTGCTCGGGTATCCCCGGCTCTCCTGGAGATGCTGCAGCCCCCGCAGAGCTCCTGGGCCGGGAGAGCAGGAGGAGCCTCCTACCGAGCCAGTTTTTCTTGAGCTGCCCGGGAGAGCATCCAGGAGCAGCAGAGGAGGGATGTCCTGGCTCTGGGCAGCATCCCTGTGGCCAGGGCAGAGCGGGCTCAGCAGAGCTGCCAGGGAAAGGTGGGACAGCCTTGGGTTGTGAGAGGGCAGCAGGATGAGCCTCGGACACCCAGCAGACCCCACACCTCCAGCCGAGCCCTGGACAGCTGCAGAGCACCTGCCTGTGAGAGAGCTCCTGCAGGAAATCACAGCAGCTCGTGGTCCTCCTGCTTGGATTTATTTCAGTGGGGACAACTGACAGGCACCAGAGTTTTTCCTCCCTGTGCCCTGTGGAACTGGACAGCAAAACTGAAAATGTAGTATAAATTCTGCTTTTCCCCAATGAGATGTTTTCAAAGTAAAAATATAAAATGTCATATAAACCTTCAAATAAAGTGAAAAATGACAGCATCCTGTAGGGAGAAGATGCAGGCACTTACTTTTCTGGCTTATTCAAATTTGGGATCTCTTTATTTTAGGGTTTATTTTTCCTCTCTTGGGACCTGTGAGGCTGGTAGGAACTGTCTGATTATCCCCAGTGAGCTCAGACCTCATCCTGAACAGCTGACTACCTGCACAGGAAAGTTTTGCCAGATGCCCCAGCACAGGAACAGAGATGGCACTGCTGTTGTGCTATAGCTGCCTTCTCCATGTGCTTTCCCAAGTTCAGCTACAAAATTCATAAAAAAAAAAGGGATGTTAGTGTAGCTGCCCTGTGTTAGGTTCTCAGACTGCACCCAGAAAAGCTTTCCCACAAACACAAGGATGGAGGTGAAATCCCTGCAATTGTTTATCCAGGTCTGTGGATTTCAGCAGATCCACAAGCTCCTGTGGGAAGAAAGGAGGGAGAATGTTGCTGTGTGACTTGGGAGACCAGCATCAGACTGGACATCACACAACAAGGGGTAAAAAGGAATGTTTTCAAAGTTTCCCACAGTCTCTAGGACACTGGGAGCTTTAAACCCCTCCCTTTGTGTCCCTCCCATGCTGTGCTCCCCAGAGCAGTGGCTGAACCCCTCAGTTCCACCTTCCTCCCCATCCCTGGGAGCCCAGGCCACCCCTTCAGGTGTTCCTGAGACAAACAGCAGCATAGGAAGGGTTATGAGGCACAGCTCAAACTCTGCCTTGCTGCTCTGGAGGGAACAATGCATTTGTGGGGAAGGATGTGAATTGGTCACAGTCCCCTCAAGTGCCAGGATGGCCTTTGGGCTCCCAGCCCCAGGGAGAGCAAAGTTTCCTGTCTGCAAAGCAGAGGGCTCACCAAGCATTCCCAAAGTGACACCAGTGATCTGTAGGCCAGGCAAGGAAAACTGGTGTCCAGTTAAAGTTTATGAAACACAGGAGACTGCAGGGAAAATAGGCCCCTGGGGAGAAAATGCACATTTAAGAGCAGGGATCCTGGCAGGGGAAAGCAGCAGATTGCCTCTTAGCATCAAAGGTTACACAAGCAGCTGGACACATATTTAGCTGGATAAAACAAGAGGGAAACATTAGGAACTGACTTGGAGAACAAGCATCGAGTAGTGCTGCTGTCCTTTATTTCAGTGCAGCTGTTTTGCATCCCAGTAATTTAATATACTCTTTTTGTAATAGACATGATGCTGCCAGCACCCACCAGAGCCCCAAGGAGAAGTGAAAACCACCAAGACACTGAGGACTCAGCATCCAGATTCACAGCAAAGGTGAGGAATACTCTCATTTTAGCATTTAGGGCACCAACACAGAGATGCAGCTGGGAGCTGTCCTCCAAAACCAAATGAGGGATGCTGCTGCCTCCATTTGGCATGGGTTATTTATCAGTTTCCTGAACACAATCCTTTTCACTGGGTACGGGATCTGCCCTTGGAGCTCACACAGATATGAAAGGGGAGGCTGAAAAATGCACCTTGATACTGACAGGCTGATAGCACAGGTTTGAGAGGAAAGTTAAGTGAGCCTGATAAACCAGCTCATCACATTAGTCACAAAAGCTGCATAACACTGGATCCTGCTAGTTTTTAAACTTGTGTGTAACAGGGTGATGGTCATTCCACACGGAACTGAGCCACCAAGCCACATGGCACTTTTATCTGCCTCCCCTCATCCCCAGCACCCTTCCAGCAGCTGCCTGGAGCACTCTCACCATTCCTGGGCCTGCTGGATGCTGCCAGGTGTTCCTGCTGGAAGGGTAAAGGTGCCAGATGTGCCTGCACCTCTCTCCCTGTGGGCACAGTGTGTGTCCCCCTGTCCTCCAGCCCTCAAAGCACATCTGGGGTGACAACGTGAACATGTGTGGTGCTTAGGACAGGACCCCATCCTAGGGATGCTGCAGGTGTGGCTTTGTACCTCGGTGTCAAACCAGAGTCCTTTAATGCCAAGTTTCATTAGTCTGGAGCTGGCCAGGCCCTCCTGCAGGAGCTGGGAGATGGATCTCTTGTCAGAAAAGCTGCCAAGCTTCCTGGATTGCTGTCCAGCTGTAACTTCTCCAGTATCACTCTGCCCCCTCTGCCTTACCATGAAATAGCTTATTTTGCCATTCCTGCTTTGGAAGCTCCCCTAATCTTTGCTGCACCTCCCACAAGTGGGCACCTCTGTAATTTCCAAGAAGCCATTGAGCAGACTGGTCTGCAAGGGGAATGGGGTGCATGAGGGAGGCTCCAGAGCTCTCACAGTCCCATGTGAGAGCTCCATCCTCCCACCCCTGTGCCAGCACCTCCCTTTGCTCTCCTTTGGGCCCTGTCACCCTGCCCCTGCCCCTGTCCCCTGCCTCCTGCACCTCACAGACCTCCCCACACAGATCTGTCACTTCTTCAGTGCTCTGATAGTCAGGCTGTGCTCTCCTTGTTTTCTCCCAGTGTTTTTTGTCCTCCTACAATGTAAATCAATGTGCAATATTCCTTGGCCTCTCTCCATTTGGGAATATTAAGGAAAACAGTTAATTATATTTTTTTCCATTTACCAGTGGCCAGCTCACATCAATTAATTATCCTTACCACGCCATGCAAGTAAATCTGCTGTCTCCTCTTGAGACTTTTTCCCTTGCATGTCTGAAGAGTTTCATATTTACCCTGATTTCTTGCACAACATGTCTTTCATTATTTATTTTTCTTTTGTGTGTTTGTCTATGTGAGCGCACATGTGTGTGTTACTTCTCTCACTCTCTCCCCTCCACTCTGTGACCCCTCCCTCCCCTCTCTGGGGAGATGTTTGGCACTTCACATATGCCTCTCCCTTATCCTTGATTATTATCTGTTCTTCCATGCTCATTCACAGTGCTCTGCTCTAACTCCCATGGCATTTATTCCTGTGTGGCATAAAAAAACCTGTGGACAGGCTGTGATTTCTGTGCTGCTGCTTTTCATCCTCTGCCAGCCCACTTCATGCCCTGTCTCTCCTTTACCATGCCTGGTTCAAACTCACCCGTGCTCCTGGTAGCACAAGAAGCAGATACCTCCATTTCTCCCTGTTTGGGAACTGCTTCCACCTTGCTTTGGGATTTAGTGGAACCACTGCCTCTCTCCAGGTGGGAGCTCCAAACAGCCTCAACAAGCACCAGGAGCACTGGCTGACCCCAAACCCAGCTCACAGTGCCCAGCAATGAGGTGGGGATGCCTGGCTGGGGGCTGGCCCAACTCCACACCACAGCTGGAGGGGCTGGACAGGAGTTAAAAGGAGTGAGGGGGAGCAGAGCCACGGCAGAGCCGTCCCCAGTGCTGCAGGAAATGGTTAAGGGGGCAGAAGGGGAAAGCAGAGAATCCCAGGAAAGGGCAAAGTCGTGAATCTGCTCTTTCCTCTGGAGATCCTCAGGGCTGGGTTTATCTCAGCCATGCCAGCCAGGAGATTGTTTAAGACATCCTTTAATCTGTCCCAAGAGTTAGGGTGGGCCTCTGATTTGAATCACCAGTCCCATATACCATTGTCCTAATGCCCCTTATCTCAGTTATTGCTAAACATTCCTCAGCAGCAATTACACCTTTCCTCTCCAATCTCCCCCAAAGCATCTTTTACTATTTACCAGCATTGATTTTCTGCATCCCATTTTATTTATGCCTATTGTGCCTTGAATTATAAAGTAAAAGACAAATTTGCTGACTCTGGCATGTTTCTGAGTCCCTTTGCCTGTCTGTCCTCGTTCCTACATCCTCCATATACTACAAATTGCCTTCATTAGTGAAGCTACTTTAAGAACTTTAAGAAGGAAGCCTTGAAGAGGAAGTGCACTTTTATTTTTTTCATGTCTAGCACCTCTCTTCTATTTTGTCAGAGTGTCTTCTTGTCTGTCCTTGGGATAGTTCCCCCCTCCTCTCCATGGATTTCTTGCTGAATAAAAAGAAAAATATCTCCTAACATGGAAACATTCTCTTTATCTGGGCTCCTGGAGCTGGGGCTTCACAGTCACAGGAGGTGATGGGGTATCAGGTCTTGTGTCTGTTTGCAAGGGATGACTTCCCAAGAGGGGTCACTGATTTAAGAGCCAGTGATGGGCTAAAGGCAGTCTGTGGACTTGTAAGGGTGGATAATGACTATTGGTGATGGCTCTGCACATTCAGTAAAGCCTCAACAGATACAAATCTACTTGTGCCCACTTAAGAGCATCTTCTAGACCACAACTGTCTGGCAAAACATCAGCTGGGTCCTTAGGATGGGCTTCCTCTGGGTAAGGTTGTGAGCTAGGGACAAGCTGGAGGAATCAGAGGTGCTGTGGGAAACGACAGACTCCAATAACTAGAAAATGTGAACACACATGGAGAAAAACCTCAAGTGACTATGCCTCTGGTTTGCTTAAACATGTTGCTTCAATTCTGTTTTGTTAGGCACATATTTCTTTTTCCTTCTTGACAAAGATTCTGCCTCTCCTTTCTTTTCCCCATGGCCGTTGCTGCTAACTGCCACTAGAAAAAGCAACAGCAGAGGGGAACAAAGAAACTATTGTCAAACAAAAGCAGG